CCTCCTCCTCCTCCTCCTCCTCCTCCTCCTCCTCCTCCTCCTCCTCCTCCTCCTCCTCCCCTTCCTCCTCCTCTTCCTTTTTCTCCACGCTCTTCATCCTCGCTCCTCGCCGCTCCTGTTCGGTCTTCGTTTTTCCTCGCTTCTCCCTCGTTTCTCCTCCTCGCTCCCCATCTATTGGTAAACCGTAAGGTACCTATATCGCTACTCCCGGGGCCTCTCCCGGGGCGCGCTCTGACCAGAATTTCGAAACGAATCCAGCGGTGGCGACAAAGGTCTCCCAAGAGGAACACGAAGAGGAAAACGGAGGAAAGGTAACGGTACGGGTACTTCCTCCTCGCCCCCCCTCCTCGCTCCTCGCTCCTCCTCGTGCCCCCCGCCCCCGCGGGAGAGAGCCGCAGGCCACCGGCGAAGCGGTGGCGCCCCAGCGCGGCGCGGCCGCCGGGGCCCCCGGGGCGCCCCGCGCGGCGAGGCGTCGGGCGGGCGGCGCCGCTCCTCCGACGGCTGGCCTCTCGGGTAGGAAACCGGCAGCAAAATTGATGTATCCCCGAATTGCAATTGTCGCCGGAACAAGGGCTACGAAGAATGTGTGCATACACGCACACACACGCACATATATATATATATATATAGATACAAGACTGCAGTGGCGCTTCGCGCCATGCACCTTGGTTCTTGAAGTTTGGTATGCAGGCGGAATGGCAGGAAGATCAAGCCGACAATTTAGCGATAACTCCCGGTTGCCTTTTTCCGGCATCGCTGCTATAATGATGTTATTCGTTATCCTTCATCCATGGTTATTGTTCCTTACTTTCGCCATACCCTGCGCATTCTCCCCATCCTCCTCAGCTCTTTTTTGCGGAGGCTCCTCCTTGGAGAGCCTCTAGGGGCCTCACAAAAGTTGTTTCGGGCGTTCTTAGGCCTCCTGGGCGTATTCTGGGGGCCTCTGGGGGTTTCCTCGGGCCACCCTGCCTCCAACCGCCGTCTCCCTGAACGACCGAATCACGATTTGGAATTCTTCGGAGGGTGTCTTTGGGCCATCTTGGGCCGCCATGGGGCTCTCTGAGGGCCATCTTGGACCCGTGTTGTGCCGTTTGGGGGCTTTCTTGGACTGCCTGGAAGCCCTTTCGGATGGTTGTGGGGCGAACTGGGAACCTCCCAGGCGGCTTCGGACGCCCAGAAGACCGCCGTCTTGGAGCGTCGGGAAGCCGAAAAGAGGAGAACCCCACAATTCACCAAAAACCAACAGAAAATGTTTGATTATCCCAGTGCGACCCTACCTAGGAGTTGGAGCCCCTAGGAAAGCAGCATTAGTAGTAACAGTAAAGCTAAGCTAAAGCTAAGCTAAAGCTAAGCTAAAGCTAAGCTAAAGCTAAGCTAACGCTAAAGCTAAATCTAAGCTAAAGCTAAGCTAAAGCTAAGCTAATGCTAAGCTAAAGCTAAGCTAAAGCTAAGCTGAAGCTAAGCTAAAGCTAAGCTAAAGCTAAGCCATGGCTAAGATGAAGCTAAGCTGAAGCTAAGCTAAAGCTAAGCTAAAGCTAAGCTAAAGCTAAGGTAAAGCTAAGCTACCACTAAGCTGAGGCTAAGCTAAAGCTAAGCTAAATCTAAGCTAACACTAAGCTGAAGGTAAGCTAAAGCTAAGCTAAAGCTAAGCTAAAGCTAAGCTAAAGCTAAGCTAAAGCTAAGCTAAAGCTAAGCTAAAGCTAAGCTAAAGCTAAAGCTAAAGCTATAAGCTAAAGCTAAGCTAAAGCTAAGCTAAAGCTAAGCTAAGCTAAAGCTAAGCTAAGGCTAAGCTAAAGCTAAGCTGCTAAGCTAAAGCTAAGCTAAAGCTAAGCTAAAGCTAAGCTAAGCTAAAGCTAAGCTAAATAAGCTAAGCTAAGCTAAGCTAAAAGCTAAGCTAAAAGCTAAGCTAGCTAAGCTAAAGCTAAGCTAAGCTAAAGCTAAGCTAAAGCTAAGCTAAAGCTAAGCTAAAGCTAAGCTAAAGCTAAGCTAAGCTAAAGCTAAGCTAAAGCTAAGCTAAAGCTAAGCTAAGAAGCTAAGCTAAAGCTAAGCTGAAGCTAAGCTAAGCTAAGCTAAGCTAGCTAAGCTAAGCTAAGGCTAAGCTAAAGCTAAGCTAAAAGCTAAGCTAAAGCTAAGCTAAAGCTAAGCTAAAGCTAAGCTAAAAGCTAAGCTAAAAAGCTAAGCTAAAAGCTAAGCTAAAGCTAAAAGCTAAGCTAAGCTAAGCTAAAGCTAAGCTAAAGCTAAAGCTAAGCTAAAGCTAAGCTAAAGCTAAGCTAAAGCTAAGCTAAGCTAGCTAAGCTAAAGCTAAGCTAAAGCTAAGCTAAAGCTAAGCTAAAGCTAAGCTAAAGCTAAGCTAAGCTAAGCTAAGCTAAGCTAAAGCTAAGCTAAGCTAAGCTAAAGCTAAGCTGAAGCTAAGCTAAAGCTAAGCTAAAGCTAAGCTAAAGCTAAGCTAAAGCTAAGCTAAAGCTAAGCTAAAGCTAAAGCTAAGCTAAAGCTAAGCTAAAGCTAAAGCTAAAGCTAAGCTAAAGCTAAAGCTAAGGCTAAAGCTCCCAGGGGACTGGGGGAACCGCGGGGCGGGGACTGGGGGAACCGCCCGGGGCGGTTTCCATTGCCCAGCCCCTTTAGCTAAGAGAGTAAGAACCCTTCTAGGTAGAGCCTAGGTAGGGAATCAATGATTTTTGCCTCGGGGGGCCTTCTTGGGAGTGCTCTTGGAGGCCTCTTTGGGGCCGTCCTGGAGTGCACACTTTAGGGTGCGCCGCGTATGCGTTGCTGTCGGTTGAAAGTGGGGGGTGCACGAACCTGGCGCGCTCAGATGCGAGCGTAATCACGCGATACGGGTCCCAACGCGAGGTCAAGCTCATTCCGAAAGAACAGGAAAATCACCCGACCCTCTTGAGGCCAGCACCAAAGGTCACTCTGGCGAAGAGTCACTCTTGCGTATAATCGAGATCCAGCAGCGGCGACACGACGGCGACGATATAGCCGCCAGCCCGGTCACCTGGCCCAAACGACGGGCGGCGACGAGGCGGCGACGGTGTGACGACGGCGGCAGCATAGCCGCCAGACTGGCCACACAGCCAAGTTCCTGAGAGCAGAAGTAAGAACCCCTAACTGCAAGCACTGTTCGGAAATTCTGGGGCGAATCAATTATGTAGCCGATCTCTTACTCGAGTCTTGAGGGGACAAAACAATTGAGGGGGCAGGAAACGGGGACCATGGCCAGGACAGAACGCGGAGACGTCGTGTCGGTCTTGGTCACCGTCGCTCTTGGTCTGCGTCCATGCGTGGGTCATGCCCGTGAATGGGCGACGGCCGACGTGGATCATGACCAAGCTCGGCGTCGACCAAATCCCGTAACATCTTGGTCACGGTCCCAATAGTTATTCCGTCGAAGAGTCAGGGGCCCAAGGGATACAAATACATCTGCATAAAGTAAATGATTCCCTACATGTTTCTGATTTCCTGGATTTCCCTCTTCCACTCCATTTCCAATGGTCCCCAATACGTTTCTAGAGATCAGTTGATACTTGTGTCTCTTGGGGGCCTTTTGGCGCCCCCTTGGGAGCCTCTTTGGGCCTTCTCGGGGCTCTCTTGGGGCCGCCTCGGGGCCCTGTTGGGCCGTTTGGGGGCCCTCTTGGGCCGTCTTGGGGCCCTCTTGGTCAGCTTTCGGGCCCTTCTTGGAACGGTCTTGGACGTTCTTGGGGTCCCTGGGAGCGCTCTTGGGCTTTGTCCTCATCGGAGCTCTCTTGCCCCCCATCTTGGAAGTATCTTCGGCCGTCTTGAGCGCTTCTTGAGCGCCTCTGAAGCCGTCTTGGGGGGGGGGCCATTAGAGGACCTCTTGGACAATTTTCGGGCCATTTGGGAGGCCTCGTAGGCCGTCTGGGGACGATAGTTCGAGCCTTTCGGGCCGTTTTGGGCCGGTCTTGGCCCGAAAAGGCGAGAACCCCCAAAACTATCAAAAACCATAGAACAATCAAGGTGTGTTGCTTATTTGGGCCCCAAAAGGGCTCTCTTGGGGCCGCCTTGATGCCCTCTTGGGCCGTTTTGGGGCAATCTTGGGCCGTCTTGGGGACCTTGAGCCGCTCCAGTCGAAACAATAATAGATTTCGGGCCATCGGAGCTGTCCTGGAGCCGTTTCACTAGAAAAAATACGATGGAAGCTGGCCATTAGACTTTTCGTCCGGCCTACCCCTCTCCCCTGGAACCCTTCCTACCACCCTCTGGATTAAAAAGTTGTGACCGGCACTATGCGAGAGAGCGATCCCCGCGGGTTTCGCCGGTCGGCTGGCCCTCGAGCCTCCACCATCGATGGATTCCGAGATGACTCCAAGGCAAGCCCGTGAACCGAATGACGGAACGGCTCCGCAGGACGTGGAGCGGTGCAGCACAAAGTTATGGAAATCATCGCACACGAAATCTTTGTCTTCTGGCGGCATGGAAGGCAACCTGAAAGTGCTGTTTGAGGACGTCTTAAGCGAAACGACCACTCTCAGGCGGCATGAACATCGATCTGAAACTTTTTGTGAGGAAGTCCTAGGCGAAATCGACACTTTCAGACGGCATGGGAGAATTTCAGATCGCCCTGGAAGGCGATCTGAAACTTTTTTGAGGAAGTCCTAGGCGGAATGCCACTTTCAGACGCCGGCCCCATTTGGCCTTTATAATATTAAAGGGGGTGAGGTATGCGTCTGAAACTCCCAAGTCGGCATCAAATCCAGCATTGTCCTGGGCCCCATGGCCTAACGGGTGGCCAACAGCGTCTCTCTCTCTCTCTCTCTCGAACCCCGCCGTCCCAACTTTTTAATCCAGCGGGTTGTAGAAAGCTTCGCCCCACCAGAACGTTATCGCTCGTACATCGCTCTTTCCGTTACCTGCTTGGCACGGGGACGGAAAGCGCAACTCACTTGGTGATGGCGCGAGATCGCTGGCTTGTCCGTTTTCCCTCCTATGTCATCCTCTCTTTCCCTCGCCCTTGTCGCATCCTTGGGGGCTCCTGGGCCGTCTTGGGAGACTCTCGGGATGTCCTCTACCTCTCTTCAGCCGTGCGCAGGCCCTTCAAGCGAAATTGCAAGACGATGTTAGACACATCCATTTGTGCATGCGACGTTGGAGATTGCTCATTTGTTCAACCGCCTGGCCGCGCTGACATCCTCGGCCGTTTTAACCCACTTGGCCTTTTCAACCCACCTGGCCGTTTGCCCCCCCCGAATGTCCGCTTCAAGGCGCATGGCCATTACGACCGCGTGACTGTGCTCATCGGCATGGTCATTTTAACCCGCCTGGCAGCGCTGACATCCTTGGTAATGTCAGCCCAACTGGTTCTTTTAACCCGCCAAGCCGACCCGATTGGCCGTTTTAACCCGCTTAGCCGTTTTCGCCCGCCTGGCCGTTTTAAGTCGCCTTGCTGTTGGAACCTGCCTGGACGTTTGAACCCGCCTGGCCGTCTGAATTCATCCGCCAGGCCGTTTGAACACGCCTGGCCGTTTCTGCCTGCGCGGCCACTTTAACC